GCCGGTAAGAATGGCGAACATTAAAAAATCTGGAGACAGCAGATGCTGGAGAGGATGTGGAGAAGTAGGAACACTTTTACACTGTTGGTGGGAGTATAAATTAGTTCAACCCTCGTCAATTTAAGCTGGAACAGGAGGTATGGAAAGCCTCAGTAACTCGTCCGAGGTCACACAGCTGGTATTTGTGGAAGCGGGTAAAATGCTGGCAGACTGGCCCCAGGGTCTCGTTCTTAACTCTATTTCTTTTCATCAGGAGGTTCGTGCTGGTCTTTGTTCGGCATGGGGAGAAAGGTGTAGGGTATGGCTAGAAAGTCATGAAAAAAAAAAAAGCCTAGGTTTGTATCGCCAAGTTTTATCTCAAGAACACAGTGGTGCATACAAAGACGCTCATTGTCGCCTCATAGTTGTGATATGAAGTCAAATGGCAGAAGGAATCAAACAAGCCCATGGCAGGGAATGCATTCAGCCTGGGATCAGCCTTCTTTCCAAGGGCAGGGTCGGGGTGCAACAGAAAATGCAAAACTCAGATGGCCAGCTGAGGGGTGGGGGAATGAAAGGAGGGGTCCACCTTCCCTCCCCTTCTTCCTCTCCCCAGCCCTACCCTCGCCTGCCCGGTGCCCTCCTGCCGTGCTCCCCTAGAGAGCTCATTCCCTTCTCTGTTCCCTGGGTCTCTGTGGCCCCGCCCCCAGTGTAGCCTGCGGTGGGCCACGGGGCCTCCCACCCCACCCCCCTAAACATGCTCTGGCCCTTCTCCCCAGCCACAGGGGTCTGCCCCCTCCTCCGCCTGGGCAGAGCCACCCAACACCTCCCACCCCCAACCCCCACTCCTGCAGGTCTTTCTCCCACGCCCTACCTGGCCTCCACAACCTCAAACTCTCCCACACCTCTAACAGCAGGATCTGCCCATTCCCCCCCACCAGCCCCTCACAAGAGCTGGGCACCCACTCTGTCTTCTCTCGCCTTTCTCCCACCTGCTCCTAGGGCCTGGCCAGCCCCCTCCTGCGCTGCCCTTCGCAGCGACTCCTGGATCGCGTGGTCAGGCGCTACGCAGAGGTGGCCGATGCTGGCAGCATCTTCATGGACCACTTCACCGACCGGGACAAGCTGCGCCTGCTCTACACGCTGGCTGTCAACTCGCACCCCATCCTCCTACAGGTACACAGCGACCCAGCAAGCCCTCTAGGTTGGAGGTCAACCTTGCACTCCCAGAAGCCGCCCCGGATTGAGCCCTCTCCCTCTCTTTATTGCATGTCTTGGGGCCACTGGCCCGTGTTAGGACCTTTCTGGCATTTGTTGGTTTCTGCAGTGTGAAAGTGCTGTGGCTGCTGTAGAGGAAACAGGGGTGGGAGCCCAGAGCTGGGAGGGGGATGGGGATGGGGGGAAGAGTAGCCACCTTCACTGCCTGAGCAGCCCTGAAGGGCTGTGTAAAGGAGGCCAACTTTGACCTGTGCCTCAAAGATCAGTCAGATGGGAGTGAGCTCAGAAGTGGAGAAATTGCTGAAGAATGACCCACCCAGAGAGGTACCTTGCAGTTATGCTTGGAAAGGAAAAAAAAAAAAAAAAAAAAAGGAAGTAACTCCTAAATGTCCATACACAGGGAAATGGTCGAATAAATGAAGATGCATTAAGGGCCTGGAGATAAACTGGTCAACAAGACAAGTAGGGTGTCTCCTGCCTTCATGCAGCTTCCAGTCCAGTGGTAGAGACAGACACTTAACATGGAAACAAACACCCATAAAATATGTGGAGCCCAATCACTCTGACTGACCCCTGACCTCAAGGGTAAGGACACAGGGGTCACATAATGGAGACAAAGGGAACTAGAAAGTGGGAGAGGGGAGCTGGAAAAGGAGGAGGGGTAGCGAGAGAAAGAGGGAAGAAGAGGAAGGAGAAGAGGAGGAGGAAGAGGACTAAGAAACGGAAGAGGAAGGAAGGAGGGAGGGGAGGAGAGGGAAAGGTAGGAGGAGAAGAGAAAGAAGAAGAGGGGGGAAAGATACAGGTAGAGGAAGAGGAAGCCATAGCAAAGACAGTTAATAAACACTGGCCAAAGGGATGATGATTGAATGACAGTAACAACTGTCATTTACTGAGCACCGGCTATGTGCCAGGCATTGGGCTGAAAGTTTGACATGATCTCATTTATTTATGTATTTATTTTGAGACAGAGTCTTTTGCTCCATCACCAGGTGCCAGGCTGGAGTGCAGTGGCGTGATCTTGGCTCACTGCAACCTCCGCCTCCTGGGTTCAAGCAATTCTGCCTCAGCCTCCCGAGTAGCTGGGACTACAGGCGTGCGCCACCATGCACAGCTAATTTTTGTATTTGTAGTAGAGACGGGGTTTCACCATGTTGGCCAGGATGGTCTCGATCTCTTGACCTAGTGATCTGCCCGCCTCGGCCTCCCAAAGTGCTGGGATTACAAGGACATTATCTTATTTAATGCTCACAACCTCCCCCTGAGAATATTATTATTGTCCCCTTTCCAGATGAGGTTCAGTGGAATTCTGAGATGTGAAGTGACAGCCCAAGTCACTTTTGGCCAGTGTCAGTAATAGAACCCAAACGCAGAGCCGTCCCACTAAAACCTGCCTGCTGACATTGGCCTTTGAAATACTGGTGGAGGAAAAGGAATCGCAGGTTGTCCCGCACTCTCACAGGTCTTCCCCCAAACCTTGGCTGCTTCCAGGCCTGGCTCCTGAGAGGCATGGGCTAAGAGCATGGGGCTAGGACCCTCCACTCAGCTCTGGGCTCTGCCTAGGAAGGGCATGGCATGGAACCTGGGAATGGCTGTGTGGCTGCACCTGTAGACAACCACAGTAGGCCCAGGACTTCCCTCCGTGGTACTTAGTAAGAAAGGTCCCCTCTGGGCCAGGCGCGGTGGCTCATGCCTGTAATCCCAGCACTTTGGGAGGCCAAAACGGGCGCGTCAACTGAGGTCAAGAGTTCCAGACCTTGACCCAGCAATCCCATTACTGGGTATATATCCAAAGGATTACAAATCGTTCTACTATAAGGACACGTGTACACGAATGTTCATTGCAGCACTGTTTACAATAGCAAAGACCTGGA